GAGTGGGGAGGGGAGGAGGGGGGGGGGGGATGGATGGATGGATGGGTTTGTTTGTTAATTTTTGTTGCGACAGGCGGAGAAGGGTCTGCCGACGATCAGTGGGTCGGCATCGGGCAAAGAGCGCAAGAAGCGGCGCAAGGAGAAGGACAAGGACAAGAGCAAGGATAAGCACAGGGACAAAAAGGAAAAGGACAAAAAGGACAAAGACAAGAAGGAGAAGAAGCAGAAGAAGAAAAAGAAGAGGCATAGAGAGGAGAAAGAGCATGGAGGAGAGAACGGCGAAGATTCGCACAGGAAACATAAGAAGAAGGTAATTGAAGGATGTGTGTTTCTTCGATGAAACCTATGCCCCACTTGCCGCCCTGATGATAACGAATGCATGCAAGCTGTATTTCGGGTCAGATACCGAAATGTATAAAAGCTGTATTTCCAGTCTGATGGAGTAATGATTACAAGAAAAAGAAGAAGAAGAAGAAGAAGAGGAATATAGACTGGAGGGAACGGAGAAGATTTGCACAGCAAACGTAAGAAGAAGGTAATCAAAGGATGTGTGTTCACACGATGAACGTATTCTCCATTTGCCAAAAACAATGCACCCTGATCATGAATGTATACGAGCTGTATTGCGGGCTAGACACTGAATGTATACAAGCTGTATTTCCGGTCTGCTGCGGGAACGATTCTTGCGAGTTGCGTTTTGCAGGAAGAGGGTAATTCTGCAAGTCCACGCTTTGACCTCTTCCTCTCTCCCTCCCTCTCTGTTTCATAATTTGATCAAAAGAGAGAGAAAAAAAAGATGGATCGTAGTATTATACTTGCAAGGTAAATTCGTCTTTTTCTTCTCTTTTTCTTCTCTTTTTCTTCCTCTTTTTTTATTTTTATTTTATTTTTTATTTTTTATTCCCCCCCCCCCTGTGTTCTCTCCTTTTTTTCCTCTTTCTTTTTATTTTTTTCTCTTGTGATTGATTTTATTTGAATCACAGGGCAAAAAGAAAATAGAAGCAGAAATCTTGACTTGTATTTATTCAATTTTATTGGTTTCTGTTTCATTATTTGATGGGTCGTACTTGCAAGGCGAATTCCTCGTCTTCTTTTTTTTTCCTTTTTCTTCACTTTTTTTCCCTGTTTGCTTTCCTTTTTTTACTTTTTTCTTTCCTTCTCGTTTCT